CGTGGAACAGTATTTTGCAGAGCTTCCGGAAAATCATTACAGAGATGGTATAAAATTATTGGAGGATCATTGGAATAAGTGTGTTCAAGTTGAGGGAGATTATATTGAATAAAAAAACTGATTTCATTAAAAAATACACATTCTTTCATTTTTGCTTTCAAAACTTTTCAACCAACCTGTATATATATATATGAATGTACTGAACATCATTCTGTGAGCTGGTTCCATGTTGCTGGTTTTAATCACGAGTTTCTTATATCAAAAAGTTGAGAATAATCACTTAGATAATTCTTACTAATGGTTTCATTGGTGTCGTACAATATTCATTTATCTTGTTATATCTTGTATATGCAAGCAATTAGCTAAGGCTTTGACATCTACGTCCATCGATATACTGTATAATTTTCGATTTATATCAATGATCACTGTGCAAGTACTTGACTTGGTCATTTGTCTTCTCTTTGCTTTTCTTCTTAGTATCAATTATGCATCATTAAATAATGTATACTATTTTTAATTAAGAAATATTCTTCATATTGGATATATCGTGTACTTAGCAAGATATGTATTAAAGAAATTCATGTTTTCCTATATGTTGTCAATTGAATAACTTTAATAAAAATAATAAAAATTAACTATTGAAAAACAAAATCCTTCATTGGATATGTATGGAGTGTAATATATTAGCAAGAACTTTCCTGGATTCAAATGCTTTGTCTAAGTTGTACTGTTAAATATGTACACGTGGATCGTTCAAAAAGTTCCCAGACTGATTTTATTTAAAAATAACAAGAAGCGTTGTTGCATTAGCATTCTTATATATGCTTAGGTCATGCAGTCCTTTATCTATAGACATGATAAGTGAAAATATAGAAATATATTTTTGACCACCTTCTAGGCATTGACATAAAATGTAAAACTTGAGCAAAGTTGTGTTTTGAAAGAGCAACTGTTGTTCAAAATTTATGAATATGTGATGACAGTTCATAGTAATAATACTTTATTATATAGTACGATATTTGAATGAATTCATCATTTCAAACGCGAACAAAAACTATTAATGATTATTGTTTATATGGTCAACACATCATTGATATCGTGTTAGAGAATTGACATTCTCGTGAACTGATTTTAATTATATTTGATTGATCATGCGAAATACTATGTGCAGTACATTTGAAAAACGAACAATTTCCGGTGTTCATTCAGTTGCGACTCAACCGTCTTCGACCATCAGGCTTCTAACAGCTTTAATATTTATGCTATTTACATTCAAAACTGTTATAAAAGCATGATAATTCATCTTCAAAATGTCGATCTCATTCAGAAGTTGTAGTAACCGATCGAGAATCGATCAACATAAGCTGCCATCATACGTTCATACCTATTAAATGAGATGTAGTCTCATAGAACAACAAGTTTTATTATTAAACGATGGTCAATTTTTGTGAGTTTTTTTCAGTGTCTAGAGAGTGGTCAAAATATATTTCTATATTTTCATATATATGTTTCATGCAGCAGAGCTTATCATGTCTATAGATAAAGGACTGCATGAACTAAGCATAGGTAAGAATACTAATTCAACAATGCTTTATGTTGTTTTTAAATAAAATCAGTTCGGAAACTTTTTGAACGCTCTACGTATATTTACTGAAACATTCTAGACGCCTTAATAGTATAAAAGAAGTGATGTTTCCATCAAACATTAGAGTTTAACACATAATTCACAATTATCATACTCAATATCTAACTAAGATTAACCCTAATATTAATAGAGAGATCTATTTTCTATGGGAATATTCTCAATTAAATTTTAATCAAGCAAGTCATTTTAGAAACTTTTGTCTCATAATTTTCAAGATCTAAAAATTACTTCAAAATTTCTACACTAAACTTAAACAGATCTTTTATTTTTTTAATTTTCTTTCTTAATTATTGTGATAGAATGCACTTTGGTTGTGGTCGTTTAATATTGTTCTACAATTAAATATCTTTTTTAATATTTGAAAATAATTACCCGCTTAATATTGTGTCATAGAAAACTTTTTTTCTTGCAGAATCTATACATACTTATTTAGTTAAGGGGACCATGTTGTTCGTTTCAAAACTTCTGAATAATGGCTCATCAAAAAAAGTTTGAGATTTTCAGAGCAGTTAGATTTCAATCACTAGAATAAAAGGTGTCAGACACTCAAAATTCACAAATGCTTTCTGTCGGAGATGCCAGAATCACCAGGGCTGAAAACGAGCCGCCTCGTCATCCTCTTTCTCAGCCGCAATACTTCTGATACAGCTGCAAATTGTTTCACACATGCTAGATAAATTTTAGGGGCCTATCTTGTTTTTTAGTTTCATTTTGTCTTGTTGTGTTCGAATAAAGATTTTACTGTGACTACTAACAAAAAAACAATAGCACATCATATTTTGAAACAAAAACCAAAGTAAGTAATCTAAAAACTTCAAAGTTTTAGAAAAAAAAGCTTCAGCTCAATCGAATATGGTGCACTTGAGAAACGAGAGACAATCATGCACTTTTGTCATACATTACTTGATTTTGAGAGAAACACAGGTCAAAATGAATCATCGTCTTCTTTATGTGTTGAAATTTTTTTCGATAGAAAGTCATCAAACATTGCGCCAACAGAACGTTGTTAGACACTCATTGTTGATTGACAGAGCATATATCGACTACAAAACAACCTTTTTAGTGAAGACGATGTCCTATACAAAGTAACATTGGAGCGTTTTCTTTTATACAAAGATCTCAAAAAGTCATTTTTTTTTTACATAGTGAATACGACAAAGAAAATTTATCATTTATACGGGGTTCGGTGGAGGACGCATGAAAGTTTTATTTGAGATGAAAAAAAACTGGAGTTTTGGAGACCGAGAAAAAGCTAGAAGTTCTCTTAAGGATAGCTACAAAGAAGCATTTAATTCAAGTGATAGATAGAAAATAAGAGTTATTGATGCATCTTTTTGTTAGAATTGTATTTCTTCAATATGAAAACGATAGTACACATTGATTATTGATACATTCATTATTTTATTATTGTTTTATATTACTATAAACACAAAGATAATTTTCATGAATTTATTCGATTGACTTGTTGACTATGAAATTTTATCATATATTTAATTTTAATTTTGAGAAATTCACGAAAATGTTTCCTGTGAAAATAGAAATATCCAAACTGATTCGTTGTTTTTGAGATGATATTTTTTCTATAAGTAGAGCTCAGTGAGAACAAGAAAATTTAAAAACTGTTTGTGACTATGACATGTTGATTAGCAATTAAAAACTATTTTACTGAATTCTGATTTAGGATATAAGAGCTACTTCCTTCATATGCTGAATCTGAAAATATCGCACTCGAATTCGAATACTCTCACAACTATCATAATTCTAGTTGATCAGTAGACATTCGAATAGAAATAACTTCTTTTTATTTTATATCCTGAAACTTTTCATTATGAAATATGACATGATTATTACAATGTCAATGTATATATATATATATATATTGTTTTCGTTTAAATAAAATTCTATCTTCAATAGAACACAACAGAGTAAAATTTTAAAATGAATAAATAAAGCTAAGATCATTTGCGTTTGTTTTTTCCAGGCGATGGTTGAGGTGATGCTTGTCGATCAACTTTTTTTTGTTGTCTTAATCGTGCTTTTTCTATTTTTTGTCGTTTTTTAGACATTAAACTATCAACCAAACGATAAGCAACAAAACCTATTAACAAAATAAAATAAATCTTCATTAAAAGAAAAGATGAATTTCAATTAAACTTACCAACAAGAGCAACAATAATAATAGCAGGAATGATAATTAAGATATTATTATAACTGCTTGTGTAACCAGGTCCTTTAAATTCAACCTTAAAAAAAAAGAAAAATATCTTCCAAAGCTCATCAGTTTGTTTCTTCACTTACCATATTTCTAGTAACGTTTATTATTGAAGACAAATTTCTTTTTTGCGTTAATTGATCTTATATAAGGAGTAATAAGGAAAACCGACAACGTTGCTGATCCATGTTATATGGCTGTAAAACCAATCAAAAAATTAGAAAACTTCTACGACATCTTTCGCTTATTTTTTTCATGAGTTTTGTTAAATGATATTAAAAAAAATATTAATTTAAAATGCTTTATAACATCTTCGTTTTAGTCACAGCGCCCTCACTCTTACTCAATGCTGTATCGATAAATCACACCAATCAGTGTGCAGATGTGATATTTCTTTTTAATCGAAATATCAGTATCGTTTGCTTATGTCATAAATCAATATAAAATGATTTTTATCATCATACATTAAAAGTAGAATTGTACACAGATAGAACAAATAAAACAAATGCAGAACAATGAATCATTATTAATTGAAATATTATGTATTTTTATCAGGGAGCAAGAATCGTTTTCATCTTTTTTTCAATAAAAAAAATGATTTTCCATCTAAATGTGTTTCGGAAGAAAAAAATAAGTTCGTCAAACATGTAAATGTCATGATTTTAGTGTAAAACCTAGAAGACATTTTTTCAAATATTCAGTCTTTATGTTCCTCGGAATT